GAAGGTGCGGGGTGGTACCAGAAAGGGAGATGAACACTAGCTAGCGAGGGAGACTAGATGGGGAAGGCCAGAGACATCTCACTGGGAAATTTCTTTCACTTCTGTCCTGTGCTGGCAGTGGGCATCTTCTATCTCCGCCCCTACCCTTCTCCCCGCTCTATCCGTCCATGGTAGGGCAGATCTCCCTGGGGGATGTAGAGGTGGGCATGGCCAGTGCTGAGGCTGTGAGCAAGGCCAGGCTGTAGGCAGCTCCCTGCTCAGTTGAGCTAGGGGAAGGCCTGGCCCTTCCCACGCCCCTCCTGGAATGTAGGGCTGCTCCTGGGAGTTGAGCAGAAGTGTGACTTTCCCTCTGGAGTCTGAGGTCAATCAGCCTCCCAGGCCTGGTCTAGCATTCTTGATGGGGAGCCAAAACAAGCAAGGGGCGAGGGACCGGGGCAGACTCAGAGGCCTGGCAAGCCCCCGCCATCTGATTGCCCCTTGCTTTCATTCCTCGTGGGGAGGAAGTGTGTAATGCCAGAAATTCCACCCTGGGGGGAGGGGATGTAAATAGCAAGGCTCTACTGTTTGGTAGACCCTGCGCTGGTCACCTGTAGATGCTGCTAACAGTGTCACAGGGCCAATTCCTGGGGCAGTACAGGGCCTGAGGAAGGCCCAGGGGACCGTGGAAGACAGGCCCAGCTGGGATGGGGGGGTAGTGGGACGAGGGAGGGAAGTGATATAGCACAGCCTATAATACTGGTAAAAAGAATAACCACCGTTACTGAGCACCTCCTGAATGCCAGCCACTTCCTGACTCAGTTGGTTCATCTTGACACAAAAGGGGGCTGAGACCTCAAAGATCCAGAAACTAAGGCTTAAAGAGGGTCAGTAACTTGTCTCAGATCCCAAAGAAGAGGCAGGCCTGGCCCCCAGGCTCATCTGTCTTCTCTGCTATACTCTCATCAGCCCCTCACCTCCGCCACCCGCCTCCCCGCTAGGCACCAACATGCTGGGAACAGCTGCTCCAAGCTGCGAAGCCAGGATGCAGACTCCCCTGGGCGAAGGACCCCAGGAGACATTTTCTTTCGGCTACAATCGGCCTCCCTTCCTCCCCCTCCAGGCTTGAGGGGGTGGTCCTACAGGCCCCACCTAGAGGCAGAGAAGTGAGGCAGAGAGAAGGGGGCTTCCCGTTGTACAACTCCAGAGGCCATATCCATGCAAGCTTCGGATGGACAGCACCCCTGGGGGCCGCTTGGGGGAGGCCTAGTGCCCCCGCTTGTTGGGGAAGAGTGTGGATGTGAACTCAGGTCAGTTCTGCGGACTCCTAAGCAGGCCCTTTGGACTCCTGGGAGGATGGCTCAAGCCTTTCCTGGGCAGCTGGGGGGAGGCAGGTGAGGGCAGGCTGAGGCGCTCTACTCAGGGAGCAAGCTTACACCTGGGCAGGCCAAGCCAGGAGGGGAGGGGGCTGAGGAAAGCGGACTGGCTGCCCCAGGCACTTTGTATTGATGCAGCTGCCCCTGGACTTCTGGAAGCTTCCCCCTGGGTGCATTTAACAGCCAAGGCGGGGGCTCTGATCCCACTGTGGATGCCTGGAATATTCGTGTTTTCCACATCCCTGTGTGGGAGCCAAAACCAGCTTCCAGGAGCCAGGAGAATTGAGCCTGAAGGGAGAGGGGAAGATTCTCTGGCCCTGGAACTGGCCCTTGTGTAAGTAAGGGACCCAGCTAGGCAGCTTTCTCTCTTTGTCCTTCTACGTGCACAGCCTGGTTCCCTCTCCTCCTTGCCCCACATTTCTTCTCTTTTCTCCTCCCCCTCCTCTTGCTCATTCCCCCAACCCCCTTCTGATAATTTACCCACAGACAAACTGTGATGCTGTGGAAAGAGTCAGACCTGGTTCAAATCCCGGCTCCACAGCTCACAGCTGTGTGATTTGGGGCAGGTCATTGCCCTCTCTGAGCCTCTCTTCCCTTGTCTGTAAAATGGGACTATAATATCTATCTGCCAGACTCTTGGTGGGGTCAGTGAAATCACAAGTGCATATGTGCCGGGATCATTTGCCCTTGAAAACCACTGGGTCTAGATCCTGGGAACTACTTTGGTCTTTGAGAGGCCATATGGAATGGCATAAAGTTACTTAATCTGAGTCTTGGTTTTCCCTTGTATAAAATGGAAGTAATGATGGGACCTACTTCAAAGAGCTAGAGTGGGGAGTCAGAGATGTCATGGATGTCCTTAGCACATAGTAAGTGTTCAGTAGATGATTTGTTATTATCTTTGCGGGAGGATTGTTTGTCCTGCAGGAACCCGGAGAATGAGGGAAAGAGAAGTCTCCATAAAGAACTCTTCTGAGGCTAGCTGTGCTTCCGGCAGTGGAATGGTGAGGGTCGGGGCACAGGCTTTGTACATTGAAGCCCTAGAAAAGAAATATGATGTACCAGGAAGCATGACCCAGGCATTAGTGAAAGCCTGAACAGCCCGGAGAAAGAAGGATGTTTAAATTTTATCACCAAATGATCTGTAGTCTTTATGCCTTGAATTCAATCTGTCCTAGCAGCCTCAGGACCACACTGTTTTGAACATGTCTGTTTATGAGTCTGCCTTCCCCTCTAGATTGGTTGGTCCTCAAGGGCAAGGGCCATGTCATCCTTGGTTTCGTGTCAAGTGTGGGTATGTGACAGAAATTGATTTAGAGATTGGGCTTTTGATCCAAGGGGTCAAAAGACAGATGCCCTGGGACTTTTCCTGAAAGGTTTCTAAAGGGTCACGAAGCTGGTATGATATGAGTGAGGAGCCACTGGAGACCATCTTGGTTACCACAAAGGGAGAGCCTGCCTGAGAGTGATGTCAACCCAGAGGAAAGCAGAACTGAAACAGAGGCAGAAGCCTGATGACATCATGTGAGCACCTGGATCCAGCCATTCCTGAAGCAAGGGTTGACCAGTCTAGTTGTGTAAGTTGTTTCTTAAGTTGTTTTTCTTGAGTTGGGTTTCAGTCTCTTAAAACCCAAAGAGTCTAGATTAGTATGGTCTTTCCCCACCTTTATTTAAAAAAGAAAAAGTCTTGATTATCAGAAGATAGCTATGAAAATGTCCCCTGGCCTAGTAGAAATAAGTGATATCTTTCAGAGGCACATTTTGCCTTAGTTCTGAAACAGGCACATCTAGGGTCCAATCCTTCTTCTACCTTGAAGGGACCCTGGTTTCCTCACCTGTAAAATGAGACCAACATTGTTGTGAAGATTCATCCAGAGAAGTAGGAAAATCGTGGTTTCTTCAGCTTCATAAATGCAACTCCATTTCTCTTACCCCGTTGCTCCCCAAACTCAGTGTCACCAAACCAGACTATTTCAGCAAACCAGGAAAAACAGGCCTGAGCAGCTCCACCTTCTCCCTTCCCCACCCCCCTACTCCTGATACCATGCAAGGTTCCACCCCCAGAAATCTGGGTCCTAAAGCCTGGTCTGGAGGAAGCCCAACCAAACTGGTCAGGCGGGCTTGGCCTCCACTGGAAGCTTGTAGGCCTTTATCTCCACGGTGACTAAATTTGGATCTCAAACTCAGACAATCAGCCTGGGAATTCCTGACGAATTCCAGCAAAGGTTAGCTGTTTTCATTGGTTTTTACAGAGACGGTAGATACTTTTTCCAAGTAACAAGTTTAAAAGCAGTAACTTGTCATTAGAGAAAATTTAGAAAACGGGGAAAAGTCCAATAATACCATTATCCTGACACAGGCCCCATGGAGATTTTTGCTTCTTTCCTGTTGGTTATTCCAACAGTCTTGTTTGGAGGCTGTTGTTTGTTCGTTTGCTTGCTTGCTTGTTTTTACATCCACGAGATCAGAGTGTCTGTGTAGTTTTACGTCTTGATTTCCCCACCATGTTTTGACGTAAACATGTTCCCGGGTTACAAACTCTTTGCTGAGTGCCAGACGCGGTGCCTAGCACATCCCCAGCATGATCTCAGTAATGCTCACACCCATCCTAAAATCAAGAAACCTTACGATTCTTTCTCTGCAGATGAGCAAAGTGAGGCACAAAGAGGTTAAGTGTCTCTCCCAATGTCATGGTGAGGACCAGGCTATCTGGCTTCACGGGCCATACTATTAACTAGGTATACATCTGTATCACAGTTCGTTCAACCTTTCTTAGAGAGATAGAGATGCCCACTGCTCCTGCTTGCCCAGCACTAGTTTTTCACTGGAGACTGCGATTTCCTAGTCTCATTTCTAGGAGAGCAGCTATTGGGTGGAGTTGAGCGCCTATGCTGGGTCTGGCCAATCAGAGGCCCATTATCGCCCTGGCCTCTGTGATTGGCTCAGGAAGGGGCACGTGATCCAGGTGGGCCCACAAGGGGAGGCTGTGGGCTGCGCCTGCGTTGTGCTGCGGCCAGTTGTCTTCGGAACCTGCCTGGGAATGGGCCGCAGCAAAGGAGGACAGAGCGAGAAGCGGGGGGAGAACAAGTCCTGTTGCAGCATTTCAGATTCTGGATCCAGTTGCACCTGAAGTGGGTTCTTGGGTTCATGATACTGGACTTTGCAGTTAGCTGAACTTTTTAATTCCCTTAAACCAGTTTGAGTTTGGTTTCTGTCACTTGCAACCGAGAGTTCTGGCAAGTTCACCATTGCTGTTGGACGTTAGGGTGGCTTATACAATTTTTTTTTTTACCATTATAATGCTGCAATGAACATCTTTACATATAGAGCTTATCCTTGATTAGAACTATTTCCTTGTGATACTTTCACAAAAGTTACTTGGCAAGGCTCAAACATTATCAGGATCCTATGGACATTTTGCAGATTGTTCCCTCAAGGTCGGCAGTATTTTGTACCCCTCACCTTCACTCCCCAACAGTATGTGCAACTGCGATTTTTAAAATTGAGTTCTGAAGAAGCTTTCTTTTTTAACAAGCCAAAGTTGTATTTGTTTTTTAAACAGAAAAATTATGTTAATATAAAACAGATAAAAATAGACAAAACCCAAAACACACAACACACAAAAGCACAACACACAGGACCAGTGCAAACCCTTTCCAACCCACTCCCCCCAAGTTTTAAAACCTTTATTACAGATCCCCAAAGATTAGATTGTATTGGAGAAGTCACAGTATTGAATCAGAAAAATAAGAAAAGAGACATTTTTAAAAAAGGTCTGTATACAGGTAGTGGGGGGGATGGGATGAGAGAGTACACTTCATCACTCCTACATCAAAAACATAATGCAGAAGGGTTTCAGTGATGAGCACATATTTCTAGAATACCACTATGTATGCTAGTCCCCTGCCCACTTTTTAAAGTTGCTTTTAAAAAGGATAAAAAGTGCACAGACACTTTCGTAAGGCACAGACAGATTGGTGTACAAGTCATTTCATTAGGGGCTTGGGGAAGACAATTAAATACCAAGAAATGCCACGTGTTCCTGAGCAGGCGTCCCTCTGCCAGAACTGGGGCAGGGATGGGATTGGGCAGGGGGAGGTTACTGCCTCTCGTTCTCCAAGACTTTGCACAAGCCCATTCTCAACTGGAACTGACGGGGCTCCCCGGGGACCTAGGTATTGTTTCCAGCAACCACTCCCAAGCCTGAAAGTAGCAGGTAGCCCTCTCCCCACGGGTCTCCCTGGTGGGACCTGAGGGTAATCATCCAGCGGTGGGGCCTTTGAGGGTTCTGCCCAAGGCCATTTTGGCAGCAGCTCACTGACAAGGTGCCTGGCACTTCTAATGCAGAGGAGGCTTCTCGAAGCACGCAGCAGGCTCTGGGTCAGGAGAGCAGTCATGGGCACTCACCAGAATAGATCCCCAAAGGCAAGAGAATGGCCAAGAAAGCCCAAAGATTCTGTCCCTAGCATCTCATTACCCTCTAATGTCTCTGCCTCTGAAGGCAGAGCTAGGGTTTTGTCCTCTCTGCTCCGCGTTCCCAGCACCCCACACCTAGTAGGCATGCAGCAGATGCTTGTTGAATGACTTTGTGTGCATGTATATGTGGTGTTTTACCAAACCCCTGAGCCCTTGTAACTTGATTTCGGATTTCTTCCGTAAATCTTTAATGAGTACCTACTATACTAGCACAGGACCCAGCGCTGGAGGGAGCAAATAAAAGTTTAAAAATCTGTCCAGCCCTGGACTGTCTGCTCCCTGCGGCTCTGTCTTCAGGCCCAGTTCCCAACACCGTGTCCAGAACACAGGCCATGCTGATGAGTGGGTGTTTAGCAAAGTGTTATCGCATGTAGAGGGGCAGCTGCCCTGAGCAGCTAAAGCCCAGCAGCCTCCCAGTTCTGGGAATGGACTAGGAAAAGGAGCTTGTGTTGACTTGGAAAGAGCCCAGTTTCTCTGGTGGTTCAAAATAACCAGGCACAAGACCACAACAAGAGAGTATCTTCTGGTCTCCCCCTTCTTAGCCCTAGCGTCCCTGCCTGAGGGGGTGGCAGTGTTGAAGCCCAGGAAGGCGGTGGGACAATGCCCTCAGCCCCTCCCCGAAGTTGCCCCATACGTGCACCCCTGTGTCACCAAAGGAGGCCTTCAGGCTGGACTCAGGATCTCACATAGCTCAGCTCTGCCAGGAGAAGGTGGGCAGCAGGAAGGTGAGCCTGAAAGGAAGGACACTTGTCCTTCTAGGGTATGGGTGGCAGAGGGACCACAGCCTGGGGCTGGAAACCTCCATACAGGCACAGGTGCCCAGGCTCTCTCCAGGGGCTGCCCAGAGAAGTTTCAAGAAAGAAAACTCAAGGCCATCTCAAGCTTTCCGGGGCTTGGGGCCAGGCAGCTGAGAGAGTGGAATTCAGCACCAGACGCTCCTGGGTTTGAATCCCAGCCCTACCACCTATTGCATGTGATCTTATCACTTCACTCACAGGACCTCAGTTCTCTTACCTGTCAAATGGGAATAATACCATGGTTTGTCAATTCTAAATAGCACAGCTGGTTTTTTTTCCCCCCACATTTCAAGTCTGATTAGAATGAATCATATAGCTGTGGTATCTTACAGTTATATTTGCATTTTTTCCCTTAGCGGTACATAAAATTGTGTATTTTACCATCGGTGGTGTTTTAGATGTGGCCCAGTGGGGTAAGAAGACCTGCCTCACAGGATCGATGCGTGGAGACGCCTCTCCAGCCCGGCGCCGCAGCGCGTAATGACGGGAAGTGAAAGAGAGGGCTTCCCTTTCCTCTTTCTCCCGCCATGTGAGGGCCACGTGAGCAGCTCCTCTATAGCACTGAATAAATCACTTTAGAGCATCAGGAAATGTCTGGGTTTTAGAAGATAAACACCCCCTTAATTCCTCTTGGAAACAGGGAGGCTATTTATAGCAGCTGCAGAGCAAGTTAAACAGGCCACCAGCTCCTTTTGATCCAGGTAACAGGTCACCAGGAGCATGGCCCGGTCCACGTCGGGTCCAGGCCCTCAGTCACTGGTTTCCTGGTGGTGGCTGTACATGGCCCTGGCTGGAACCCAGGGGTGGGGGCAGTTAGGAAGGGCAAGAGGCAGCGGAGACCAGCTGCCTCCCGCTGGCTTCGAGGACCACCACAGCTTGTGACTGGCTCAATCCGGTCAGCGGGCACTGCTGCCTGGAGAACCAGGTCTGGTGGGGAGGAGGTCACAAGTCCTCTCCCACGTGGTCTGGGCCCATACATGGGGAAAGTGGAAGGCTCCTGCTGGCCAGACGCAGCTGGGCACTGAGTGCTACCCAGCGTCTCTGGCTCTTGTCCTCCCCAAAAACTTCCGTCACAAAATTTAAAGGTGGGCAAGTTTCCCAGATTCACTAGGGGGACAATAACCAATCAGGGGTTCTTGCAGGGGCAAGAGTGGGGGTTTTGAAGTTGAGATCAGGTCAGAACACTATGACCACTCCAGGCAGAGAAGAAGCAGGTGGTCCAAGGCCTAGAACATTACAAAGACCACCTGGTCTTACAGGCTTTGATTTGATGAGGGCCCAACTGGGCTGGGCTCTGGGCCCCCAGACACCCAGCACACATGTGTTCTACGAATGCAGAAACTGAATGTTCTCCTTTCTCTGCCATCATCTGTGCAGCAGAGGAACAGATTAGGAATTGTAGTAAAAATGTTACCTGTTCTTTGTAGGGTGTCTTGGGCTTTTTAGATGTTATGCTGGTTCTCTCATGGGTTCTGGAGTGGGAAGGTACTGGGCCTCACGTTGGACAGATTGAGAACTGAGAATCAGAGAGGCCCAGGGGCTTCCTTAAAAGTACAGCACAAGATAGGGCAGAGGTTAGGCCCTGAACTGGGGGCAGAAGGGAGGAGCCGGCCTGGGCCAGCCTATCAGACCGGGGGTGGTGTGGGAGTCTGCAGACATGGGCCTCCACAGGGGTGAGGAAGTCGGGGACAGGGCCAGGTCCCAGGAAATGCCTGCAAATGGCTCTGGGAAGGGGGAGAGTCCCAAGGTCAGCATTTTAATGTCTCAGCTCTTAACATCTTAATGATCATTTAACATCTTAGTAATCAGCAGCGAAAGGGAAGCTGAGAATCAGAACCAGTTGCAAGGTCTTTTCTTCCTACCGCCTCCCCGGCAGGCTGTCCTGGTGATGCCCACGGCTGCTGGTGAATGCCAGGCCCGGGCTGACAACACGAATTGTGAAGAGCCGTCTGTGTGATGGGGTGGCCTTTCCAACTGCAGGTGGGTCACCTGCCTCCAGGATTCTTTCTCCCCAGGAAAAGAGAACCTGCTGCTTGCCTTCTTCTTGGGGACAGCAAGGGATGGGACAGACGAAAAGCATCTAGAGGGACCGAGTCAAGGTGCACTATGCTTATTATTAGGCTGTCTGGGGTGAAGGGGTGAAGAGGCTTCTGGGGATGACACCACCCAGAGCTCTCGGTGGGCCGCAGCACCCATCAAAACTCCTCTCCAGGACTGAGGAAGAAACTAAAAAAGCAAATTGTTCTTTTCTGTTCTCCACCCACCTTCCCCCCAAGGCGTTGCTGCTTTGGAGCTGTAAACAATGAGCTATTTTTTCCTTCCCTTAGAAAATCTGAGTGTCCCTTTTCTATACCATCCAAGGGAGTTCTGTTTAGGTGCAGGCTTCATACATTCAAAACCAGCTGACGTTACAGCCCCAGAAAGTGAACAATTTCTAGTCACGCTACCGTCTGGGCTCTGGATTGCACATTCCTTAGTGTTAAATAACCTCCCAGAGCCAGGATCCCTGGATAAATACCTATGCGTTCTCTCTCACTCGTTCGCTCACACACCTTCTCTCTCTCTTCTCTGGCCACTCCCTCCCCTCACCCTCTCTCACACACACTCAACCCAACTCCAGCAAAAAGCATTGCACAGGGAATGCTGTTTCCCAGCCGAGAGGTCACCGAGGGACAGGGTGGTCTGCTAGGCAGTTCCTGAGCTTGCTTTTGGGACGGCCTTTTGGGGGCAAAGCACTTTTGAGCCAGAAGCAGCCCTTGCCTGGGCTCAGACCTCCAGGGCCTCATCTCCATGACTGTCACGCCTTGCCCACCATTGGAGAGTGGCAGATGGGATGGCCACTGCCCTTGGACTCCGTGGTGGCCATAGTGGTTGTCTGGCTCAGGGGGCCTTCAGAAAGGTGACCTTGCTCTGGCCAAGGCCCATTGGCAGGCCAGGCTACGGCCTGTAGATCTTAATGACATCCTTGATGGGTCGCCGGCAGATGGGGCAGCAGGCGCGGGCCTGCCTCTTGAGCCGTAGGCCACAGCTGTGGCACAGACACATATGTCCACACGTGTAGATGACTGTGTCCACTTCCCCGTCAAAGCACACCGTGCACTCGCCATTCTTGCTGCCTGCCGGCTCTGGTGGGGAGAACACAGGGGACACTGGGGGGCTCAGCGGGGAGCTGGGTGCGGTCACTGCAGAAAGGGAGAACAAGACAGACCTTAATAATGTGGTTTTCACGTGGGTTCTTTTGGGGCAACCCCGAGAAGGCAGAGCTTCTATGGCCGAACTTGTGGGGAAACAATTTTGAGAGACACCAATTTGGGGTTTTTCTCCTGGGCTTTGCCCCCTTCCCTACCCTCCTTCCCCCAAGCATCAAGCACCAGGATCACCCTTTGGGATACGACATGGAGATTTCTCCTCCCTCTAGACAACTGTACAGCCATGGAAGGAGAGGATGCAAGGGGGGTGGGGGGAAAAGTGGCCATCCTTGCTTAGCCTCAGGAAGGCTCTGGCACAGCTGAAGGAGCCAGGCCAGCCACCAGCCCCTCCCCCCTCTAGGGTTTATACCTCCTTACCCAGGGATGACTCAGATGCTGAGGAGGACTGGTTGACACTGAAGGCCATATCAGAATCGCTATCATCCTGGGAGCCGCTGAGGGACCCTGATGGGGACGTGGTCGCAGGGCTGGACTGCAAGGTGCCTGAGACCAAAGAGACTCCATCAGGGGCGGTGGAAGGTGAGTCCTGTTCTGCTAGTCCCTGGCTCTTCACTCTTTTGCACCTTAGCTTCCCCATCTGTCTAATGGGGGGATAAGAGTTATCTCCCAGGTTTCTACTTAAGGATTGATGGAATTGTACGTGTGCAGTGGACACCTATTCTTTGCCCGCTCAGCCTCCATTCCTGTTTATTTCAGAAACAGTACCAGGATTTTTTGTTGGGGCACTTACTTCACCCTCACTCACATGATCCAGGCCAGGCCAAAAAGAACTTCCACCCCTTGGTCTCCATGATGGTTTAGGTAAGGCTACATAACCCAGTGAAGGTCAAAGAGGTCTTCATGAGAACACTACAACTGTTGGGAAAGAAGGGACGCATCCATTGGGAGGTAGGTCTGGCACTGTAGCGCCTGCCCGAGAGTGAAGCCAACATAGGGGAAAGTGAGCTTTGGGGATGGGATCCTGATGACATGCTTTTAAAACCTCGACCCATCTATTCCTGAATCCATCCAATATACTCCCAGACTTTTGAGGTATGTGTACCCATACATTTCCCTTTCAGTTTAGGGCACTTTGGGGTTTTGTCACTTGCAACTACAAGATTCCTGACTAGTAGTAGTCAACACGAATGAGTTTTCTCCCTTATGTTCACTGCTGGTTCAGATAATAATGGGTTATTTCTTAGGTGAGAGAGATGTTCCTTCCCTTACCCTACTTGAGGATGGATGGACAGATAATGCAGTGTCAGGGTTGCTGTCAGGTAGAAATCAAGAGGGCAAGTCCCTGGCCTCCAAAAGAAGTCACTTCCATTCTACCTTCTCTTCCTGACCACTCAAGGACTCATCCTGGTTCCTCTGGAGGTGCTGGGGAGGAGGGTAAGGAAGACTGATTCTAGGCTTAGTTCTTGCCAAAGCCCCAATGGGAACTTAGGCAACTCATCTCAGGGTAAATGGTGACTATGTCTTGTCATTCCTTAAAAAACAAAAACAAAAACAAAAAAAACCCAACAAATGATACCACTGCTTCCTTGTTCCTCCTCTGCCTGCCAACAGCAGTCATTGTTGTTACTACGCATTAAACATGCTGAAGGTGGCAGGCACCTGCTGAAAGCATTATATGCACCTCATCATTTCATCCTCATGACAATGCCAGGATGCAGTTAATTGCTCCCTCTGTACACAAAAGGAATCCAAGGCTCAGAGAGGGTCTGTGATTTGCCCAACATCTCCATGGCTGACCAGCTATGTGACTGGGACAGTCAGTTAATCTCTATGTACTCCAATTTGCTTATCTGTGGATGGGATAATGATTTTGGTTTCACAGAGGCATCAGGAGTATAAAATTGAATGAGATAACAGGAAATGTTCATCCTTTCTGTTACCATTTGGACTGACTTCTTGAATCATGAAAGTGGAGCTGTGCTCTCTGGGAACCTTCCCTGACCACCACCTCCATTCTACCAAATGGGAGAGAAGCCCCTCTGCAGTGGCCCACATCACACGGTGCGGCTTTCCATTCAGGTGTGTCTGTAAGCTCCTGCGGGGCATGGCCTATGTCCTGTCCTCTGCCGTGCTCCATCCTGGAGCCCAGGGCCTGGCCCACAGCTGGTGGGTGCTCCGTGTCTATTGGTGGCATGAAGGAAGGCAAAATCATGTCAAAATAAGATGATTCAAGCCTCCATCCCATTTTCTGTGGACGCTGTTATTCTGATGTCCTCTTTTAAGTGTAGTTGTGTTTACTTTTTCTCCTACAACTTACATGCCTCATGTATGTAAAAAATAAATGTGTGATATAGGTCATAACAGAAATAAAAATTACACTGACCATTTACCGACTGCATAAAGCCTTCCAGGCCCTGACCCCAGTGGGAACTGAGGTCCGCGTTGGCAAAGTGTGGGCTTAAGAGCAGCAACATGGACATCCCTGGGACACTTGTTAGAACTGTATTTCGGGGCTGCCCCTACTAAATCAGAAACTCTGGGTGGAGGCGGAAGGGTGCTAATACGTGCTCAAGCCTGGGAAGCGCGCCTGGGCCTCAGTGGTGTGGCTCGAGCTACCCAGCGGCGGCCCGGTGCTATGCGCGCGGTCGGTCGGGGAACTCACCGAGGAGGCGCAGCTGGCCGGCGGCGCCGCCGCGCACGGCGAAGAAGGCCCAGAGCGCCTGCGTGGTGTCGACGCACAGCAGGCGGCCGCGCGGGCGCCCGTTGACGCCCAGGAGCACGTCGCCGCCGGGCCGCAGCGTGAAGCTGAGTGCGTCGCCGCCGCTCGGCACGGGCCCGGCACGCGCAACCACCCAGTACTCCTTGCGGTCGAGCAGCGCGTCGGGGTCGGCCGGCAGCTCCGCTGGTCGGAGCCCGCCCGGGTCGCACGACGTGATGCCGAAGGCCAGCGCGCCGGGCGCCGCCAGCCCCGGGCGGCCCACCTCCACGAAGAGGCTTTCGCCGGGTCGCAGCGGGCGTTCGGAGAAGACAAGCGTGCGGCCGCCGTCGGGCCGCGGCGCGCAGGCCACTTTGCGGTCGGCGGACAGGCTCACGTCGGGTCCGCGCGTCGCGTGGAAGCGCAGGTCAGCCTCGAGCAGCGCCGGCGACGATGCGGGCCGCGGGCGCTCGCGAGGCCCGCACGGGATGGCGGCGGCCGAGGCGTCGGCGGGCAGCGGGCCCGGGGCGCGGCCCAGCGCCAGGTGACCCAACTTGGCCACCACCTGGTTGTTCTCGAGCTCGTTGTTGTCGAAGTTGGCGGCGTCGTGGCTGCTGGGCGGCAGGCAGGCGCTGAAGCGGGCCTGGCTGAGGCGCGCGGGCGTCAGCGTGTCGGCGAATGCGCTCTCTGCCCCAGGGCAGAAGGGGGGTGGTGAGGGTGCGGGCCGCCGGTGGGGAGCCCCCGGCCACCCGCAGGCCTCGGTCCCCCCCCTCCCGCCCCCTCCCCACAGCCCCTCACTTCTTTTTCTAGTTCACGTGTATAGTGATTCAAGAACCACAGGTGCACAGAATCTGAGTAAGCACAATCCTGTGTGACTTCTCTTTGGGATGGGCAGATAAGGCCCTTTCTCCGTTTATTCCTTCCTTCGTCCCTCCATCCCTCCTTCCTTCCTTCACTCTTCCTCCCTCCTCCTTCCTTACCCCACTCCAGAGGTTTTCTCATACTTTGGAAGATGTGAAAACCCTTTATTGTTGGCCTCCCCAACTAGAACATAAGCTCCAAGAAGTGAATCCTTCTGCTCTTTGTGGCCTTATATGACAGGCGCTATTTTAAGCTCCCTTCGCGTGTTATCTGAGTCCTCACACAACCTGTGAGGTGTGTTCTGTTACTACCAGCCATTTCACAAAGAAGGGAGGTGAGGCACAGAGGGGTTAAAGAATGCGACTAAGGTCACACAGCAGCTGGCAAAGCCACAACGAGAACCCAGGCTCTTCAACACGTGCTGACTCTGAAAGAAGGCAGCACAGAGCCCAGTGCCTGGGTGCTGCACAAACATTGAATATGTTAGCTTTCTGCAAGAGATGACCTCATTTTATGGGACAGCAAACTAAGAGTTTTAAGTCACCGTCATGAAAATATTTTTGAATAATTTTTAGTGGGATGAAAACATGTTCTTGATACTACATATTATATAGTTAAGTAAAAAAACAAAATAGTGTTTCATTTAGGTAATACAGGTCTTCATACTTTGGTAGGTTACTTGTCGATTGTCTCCCCAACTAAAATGTGAGTCCTTGCCTGTCTGTTCACCACCACCTTCTCAGGGCTTAGCAGGGTTCTGGGCAAAGACCCTTCATTCTTTATTGTATGAATAAATGAATAAATGAATGAACGAGGTTTCTAGAAGACTGTTACTCAGAGTGGCAACTCTGAGTAACAAATCAGGGAAAGAAAGAAACAGTCATTAAGGTATTGTGAAATTTTTTTAGTGATAAAAATATTCTCATTAACCATAATAAGTAAAGCAAGAAAGTGTTTTTCAAACTTCTGTAACTAGACCCCTGTAGCTAAGATTTGTCATTCTGTAATTTATATCATGGAAAAAACCATTTCTTCCTCTTTAGTTTTCCAAATATAAAATTAAGTCATAATAGTGAATATGCTTTTTCAAAAAGCATGCCCTAGGCCCTAGTGAGAGTCTGATAAGTTACTCCCTACCCCACCTGCAGAAATCCACAGGGCAGATTTTGTAAACTGGCCGTCCACGTTCTGACCTGGCTCACAGAACTGTTTGTTTGGCCTACTGGTATATTATCCAGTATTTATATAATAAATATGTATATTACAAGTCTTATCAGAAAACCCCAATATTTTAAAAAATCTTTTTCACTTACTAGTTAATAATGTGGGAAAACACCAATGATATAAATTAAGTGAACAAAAGAAAATACAAAACAATATATTATTTGATTCCAATGGTGTGGGCAATGTATGTATAGGATGCATAGGAAAAATACAGGAAGGATATACATAACAATGTGAGGGTGGTTATCTCTGGATGGAAATTTGCTTCTTTACAGTTTTTAGATTTTCTCACTTTTCTCTAGTGAACATGTATTGGTTTTGTAATCAGAAAAAAAAGGCACATATAAAAGACTAAAACAAGGTTTTCTGTTTTTTTGTTTTTTTTTTAAGACATTTTAGATAAGTGGATGTTTCTGGTATAGCATCCACTTCTGGTGGAGCCTCCTGGTGTGATGCACTCTCCCAGGGCTCTCTGTCCTACGCATCCTGCTGGGCCAAGCCAAAAGGCACTGGCCGTGGCTCGCCCTGGGTCTCTGCCCTTGCCAACGTCTGCTTCTGTCCCCCACCCCAGTGCTCCTCCTCCTTGCCCCACCAGCTCTACATAGGAGTCCATCCTTCAGTGCAGCATTCTAATTAAGAGCATGTCCTGTGGAGACGGTTCAGGTCCTAGGTTCAGCCCTTCCTGGCTTTGTGACTTCAGGTAAGTCAATCTCTCAGAGCCTCAGCTTCCTCAGCTTAAAATGGAACAATCCTGGTCCCCCTCCCTCAGGTTGTTACAGAGATGAAATTAGATGTTTTTATGAATAGTGTAGCACAGAACATGGGACAAAGTAAGTGCTCAAAACATGTTAATTATTATCATTATTCCTTCAATGTTTTTTGAACAAAATGTATAGAGCACTTGCCATGTGCCAAATGCTGTGCTGGGTGCTGGGTGAAGAGAGGTGAACAAGCAAGCACAGCTCCTGTGTCCATGGAACTCCCATCCCAGTGGGAGAGACAGACTTTAATGAAGCATCGGACATAAAACTGTGTAAGTACAAACTGTGATGAGTGCTACTAAGAGCCACCGTCCTGCACGGCTCTTTAAAATGAGCATGTTTCGGGCGCCTGGGTGGCTCAGTCGTTGGGTGTCTGCCTTCGGCTCGGGTCATGATCCCGGGGTCCTGGGATCGAGTCCCGTGTCGGGCTCCCTGCTCAGCGGGAGGCCTGCTTCTCCCTCTCCCACTCCCCCTGCTTGTGTTCCTGCTCTCGCTGTCTCTCTCTGTCCAATGAATAAATAAAGTCTTTAAAAAAAATAAAAAAATAAAATGAGCATGTTTCAGTGGGGGAACTCAGACTCTGAAAGGCATGGTGAGTTACTCCACGTCACGCAACCAGAGAGTGACAGGACTGGAGTTCTGAGTGTAAAAGGGGAACTTGGTCAGAAGTGAGGCCACAACGGGTCTTTGTGACAGTGAAGATGGAGTGAAGACCTGAAGGCCAAGGGGGTAGAGTGGTGCCTGGAAAGTGGGGTATAACCATTCCAGGCAGAAGGAATAGATTGTGTGAAGGAACAGCATTTCTGAAGTGAAAGCTTAATCTGCGAGCCTGGTGTAACAACATATGTGACAGCATTTAGCCTGATACCTGGCACACAGCAGCCCCTCAGAAAAGGTTGGTTCTCCTCACTTATCTCTATGCAAGGAGCTTTGTCCCCATCAGGCATTGTCCCTGAGTGAGACAGGCCCAAGACGGCACAGTGCTGGCCTAGGCCTGACACTTCAGAATCCACCTCTCAAAAGATTCTCTGTGGAGAACCAGAAATCCCACAATACCAAGAGGCCCCCAAGGGAGCTTATCAAGATTTCCTAACTTCTAACCTGTGATTTGCCTCCAAACTCTCTAGACCTGATGAAAGTATATACAGATATTTTTTTGAGACCCTACCTACCAGATGCAGTTCCGTGCATTATCCCTATCAGTCCTCACCACTATCTCATGTAGCTCTGTGGAGTGGGCACTTTTCACAGCGGGAGAGCACCGAGGCTCTGAGAAGTGGAGCGAGTTATTTAAGGTCGCACAGCCAGGGGTGACATTAATGGGATTCCTTCTCAGGCTATAGGACTCTAAAACCAGATCCCCTGACCACTAGCAGTACTGCATCCAAAGTTCACCTTTGTTCCACTCTTAGAGGTGCCAGCACGTGGACTCAGCCTCCAGCCAAGTGGCTCTTGGAGTTGCAGTCCCCACAAGTCTAATATGACCCCTAAGAGAATGAGTCCGACAGGTCTGCCCCCACCCCAAACATCTGAATAGCAGTCCCAGGCCAGGCACAGGGGAGACTGGGGTGGCTAGGATTGGCTCCACAACCTCCCACTCTCCCTGGGCCATGTCCAGAGCCTGGCTCCGGATCTGGGAGAAAGCTGGATTCTTTCCTTTCCCTAGCTCTCTCAGGTCAAATATGTCTGGGACTGGAAGTAGAACAGAATTTATGTCTCAAGAGAAACCGTATTTGTGTGAAGACGAAAGAAGTCTAGAAGAATTAGAGAAAGGGCCATCCATCAGTCACTTCATTATCTCCAAAGGTGATTCAGGATATGCACTAGAGGCAGAAGGGGCAGGGTATGCTCAGAATGGATGTAAGGCAAGGAAAAGAGGAATCAGGAATGACTCCTGAGGTTTTGGACCAGTCAACCAAGTGGGTGGTGCCCTTCAATGACAGTGGGGATGGCTGCCTGAATGTGTTCGGTGTGGAATGCCTTTTGGATGGCAGGAGGAGATGTGAGTAGGTAGAGGGAAGTCTGGACTTCAAGGGAGGCATCAGGGCTGGGAATATGGACTTGGGAGCCAACATCCTAAAAATGGGATTCAAGGCCTGGTGACAGGCTTGGATCATCATCTGGAGAAAGGGTAGATGGGAGAAATGGTCTTGCTTTATGATGGCTTGTTAAACTCCACAGATGTTTTGTACACTTTTCTACATGCATATTGTATTACATGATAGAGAAGAAAGCTGACAATAGAACCCTGGGGTTCTCAGCATATGGAAACAGGCAGGGAAGGAGCCAAAAAAAGAAGCCAAGGAGGAGCAGCCCAGGGAGGCAAGAGGAAAACCAGAGGCTTGTGAAGCCAGGAGGCATGAGCAGGTCAGAGAGGCAGGGAGAGAGCACCTGTGCCAAAAGTGAGAGGCCAGGTAAGAGGAAGAGGCTGAGCTCTGGATCTGGCAGCCTGAAGTCTGGTGAGATAATGAGGACAGCTTGGGAGCAGCCAGACTTCAGTGCATGAGGCAGGAATTGGATAAAATCATTGTGAGGAGGTGCATGAGTTCCAGCTACCCCATGTGTCACTGCTGCAGTTGGGAACAATTTTCTTCAAAGTACCTGGTGGTGAACTTAACCCAGGAGAAGATGAAATTGAAGGACTAAAATGCTGACAGAGATACTGGTCATCAAGATCAAGTCCTGCCAGACTGGGTCATTGCTAATTGCATTGGTAACTGGTAGAGACCAAATTTAAACCTCCTCAGTATCCAGTTTTTCCTGTACATATTACAAAGCCTAAGGAACATAAGTTGTTTTTGGTTCAACTTCAAGAGGAAGCCTTGTTTATAGTCCCTAAAA